CTCCCTCCTCCTCCCTCCTCCGGCCTCAGTCCCCGCCTCCTTCCCCTTCTCCCCGGCCTGCCTCGCGTTGGGCGCTCCTCGAGCCAGCACGCGTGCACCTCCACCTTCCTTCGCCGCCGTCTACACAGTTCGCCCCCTCCGTCAAGCCTTCCTGGCCGCCTCCAGCTCCCGCGACGCGGTTCGCCTGGGCGCGTCTTCGTCCACCGAGCACATAGTAGGCGCTCAGCGGGCCATCACCAAGCTCGTGGGGGAATGAATCAGCCTGTCTAGCGCCGAGCTGCTGTGCCGGCTTTGCTTCACGGGGCGTTTGCTGGGCATGACCTTCTCCTCGGCGCGTCTCCGCCTTTCCGCCCTGAAACTAGACTCCTGCGGGACCAGGATGTCCCCTTCCCTTCCCTTTCGTAGCCACGGTCCCACTCCCCCACTTCAGCGCCTGGGGATGGAGGCCCCTTTGCCTCCTGCTCTGCTCCAGTTATTTTTCTCTCTTTTCTCAGGCCGCAGGCGCTCCCTCTCCCGGCCCTCCTTCTCCCTTTTTCTCCTGCCATGCCCTCCGTGGTAGACTTACTGCAGGAAAAGAAGCTTCCCCTGACCTCCTTCCCTCCCCTCTCCCTGCAAGGGAGCTGCAGCTTCCCAGCCCGCGCGGGGCTGAGTGTCCTGCCCCTGGAGCCCAGCCAGGATAATGGGGGGCGTTGCAGGGGCCCAGGAATCGGATAAGAGCCTCTAATTGGAGCAAGGTTCCCTCTTCCTTGCTGTTTCCTACCCTCAGGCTGTAGTTTGCTCTTCTTGGGACAAGAAAGCAGGAAAAGGACCTCAGCATCTACCTCATGTTGGTTTAATATTTATTGAAGACTCACAGTGAGTTAGGAGAATATCCAGAAAAACACAGTCAGGCACTTTGCCTAGGAAACACTTTCGGGTGTTGGCTGCAAGCCAGACTCAAAACATAAAATACAATCTACTGTATTATCAGGCCATTGTCCTCCCATCCTTTCCAAGTCTGGTTTTCCCGACAAAAAGAGCTTCGGAGCCAGGTAGCTTTATCTAATTCCAAGCTTTGTATGGTCTCCACCATAGGCCTGATGCTCTTCAAGTGCTAATTAATAAAGAACAAACAGCAACAAACAGGAATTGATTCTAGGGCTCACTCATTCATTCTCCTTAGGTGTTTTGTTAAATCCTCTGCAACATAACCAAGGAACATTAAGGATCAGGTTGCGTCGCTCCTGGCAGAGACTGCGCAGCATCAGGAGACCTCGGGGTTCCTCTCTCCGAGGAAGTGAGAATGAGGTTATAGAATTCAGTAAATGGCTTCATTAATCCCTCCGGTTTTCATGCTGAACCTTGGTTGGCAATTTGGCCTAGAGGGCCCTGTGTTTGCAAAATGATCCTCTTTACTGACTGTAGCCAGGCCAACTTCCACACCTGAGTCCCAAATTCCTCTTTTTCACAGATAGGAGAGTCCAGTGGTTCTAGGACCCGGGCTGTAATTCCCTTTACTGGCTGTGTCACCTTGGGCAACTTAATGCAACCTCTCTGTGTCTCAGTTTCCATTAACAGGGCTAGTGGTTATTCTCCAATTCCTAGGATGATGCACTTGTAAATGAGTTGAATTGTGTGGAACCCTCTGCAGTATCGGGTGCAGAGAAAGTGCTCAGTGAACCCTACCCATTATGGATACCCAGTTCTGCATCTGGGTGTACTGGAGCACAAACAGGCCTACACCCTTGAGTTTAGTGCCCTCCCCCACATCTGCATAAACAATCCTACCCATCCTTCAGATCCCACGTGACATTGCTATCTCCCCCCAACCCCCAGCCCCAGCTCCCAGAGCTTTCTCCCTCCTCGGGACTTCTATAGCAGTTACTGCCTGCACTACTCATTTTATCCTGAATCACATACTGCCTCCCATTGTTCTGTCATTGTTAGTCCTGTCTCCCACGCTCAGATCTCTGACAGCAGGGGATGGGTCTTAATCTTTTCTAATCACCTCCCCCCACAGCACCTAGCTGGCGTGGCAAATACAGGAGGCACGAGACAGACACTAGGAGATTTTTGTCCCCCTGGGTAAAAGGCAAGCCATAATTGAACCAAAATGGTGGGTCAAATTTTAGAAACTCGAAAAGACTCAGACAAAGGTCCTGATCGTTTCCCTGCTGGGACACAGGCCAGAGGCTTCTTGTCTCCAGTCACAAGAGCAAATGAACTTTACCTTTTAAGTGGAGCCTTGCAGGGCATGGGGAAATGGCAACCTGGAATCCAGGCTCCCTTCAGGGAGATCATGGGGGAAAATCAGCTCTCCTGGCTTCAGGGTACTGAAGGTGACAGTGGACCTTCATGGTGGTAAAGGGAAGCAGAACTTGTCACCCCACCCCTTTGGCATAAGGCGTAGTTTAGGCTGATTATATTTTAAAAACAGCAGACACCAAAAAAGCTCTGAAAACTGAGAAGTTACCCTTTTGTAAGAGACATTTACAAGAGGAATCTCTTTTTGCCTTGGGTCCTTGACCTGCTGCCTTGACTTGCTGTCCTCATATTTGGCAGAAAGGGGCAAATCCCACCCTCTGCCTATTTCACAAGAATATGACTGGGACAAAGAAGATTACACACATGAGGCTCTTTGAAATCTTGCTGATACAGAATCCAAAAGATGATTATCGTCCTTAAATCTTAAGTAATGGAAAAGTCATGCTTTCACGAGGGAAGACGCTTAGGACATATGTCACGTCCCTACTAAGAAAAGAAATAAAAACTTCAGTGACAGCACACCCTCCCCCCCCAAAAAAAATGGTCTTTGGTTTGAGGTAGACTAACTTTGACCAGAAACCGACATTATTAAAACTTTTATTTATAATCTAGAGAGCCCGAGCCAAGTTGAAGAAAAAGTTCAAGACGAAAATTTGGTCCTCAAGCTTCCAAATGTAAACCTGTCCTTAATTCCATTCATTGACCATCAGTGGGAAAAATGTTTTCTTGGCTTGTGGTCCCTAAGTTACCACTCTGTCATCAGAAATTTAATTTGGCATTATTTGGCTATTTAAGTCATGAAGCAGTCAGGCGGTTGTCTTTTGTCCAGGGGTTCCAAGAAAGGTCTGTGGTTAAATGTCACGAGCTCAGGCAGAGCCAAAAGCTTGCTGTGGCATACTGGGCAAAGGAGGGCACTCTTCAGGACTTGGGCTGCTTCCTCCGCCCTTGACGCAGCCTCTGCAAGCCTGGCTGGGCAGTCCGGTATTATAGTTGAAAGCACAGGGGACTGGCAGCCAGGACACCTGGGTTGGATTTGACTAGCTTGGGCCAGTCGCTCCCTTTCTTTGGGTCTTGGCTCTCTCTTTGGAATCTGAAAGGATTTCAGTCACTCCGTCTAAATTCCCTTCTGGCTTCAATATTCCCTGAAAATAATGGGGGCATGTTAGTGTGGGAGAACTGGCCTTACAGATTCGGGCAGCGATTTGGAATCCCTGATACCCCTTTTCTTGTCTATACCATGATGAGGTAATGAAGGAATTGCTTCATTGAATAGAGACATACATTCATTCATTGCCAGCTAAGTTAGTGCATGGAAATGGCAGACCCGGCGTCTTCCTGAGGGAGGCTCATTTCTCCTGGCTGTTTTTCCTCATATCCTTTGTTACTGTTTTTTTTTTTTTAAATAAATATGTATTAAGGGACACTCTGTGCCAGGTAAGATGTGCGAACAGGTATTTTATAGCTAAGATTTCACAGAAAACATCGTTTGCGCATTCGAATGCATAAAGGCACATCACTTTTTTTGGCAGAAGTTGAGTGTTGCAAGAAATATTTTAAGACCCGATGTCAAAATTAACATGAAAGTATCAACTTTGTTTTATGTGTCAATATTTGAATAACAAAGTAAATG